CTCTGTGGGCTAGCTCTATAAATTGGCATCAGTCTGGACTAGTACAAGCAGCGATACACACACACGTGCATGCATGTCGCTATATAAGTGCAATAATCTTGAACGAGATGTTAAACCCCATTTCACCTCACCTAGCTTTAACAAACTACTACTGTCCATACACACTGATTTCACTGGCATTGATAGTAACATGGCAACTTGATTGCTACTAGCATCTTTTCAACTGGAATGTCACTAAAGCATCTTACAGTCAGTCATCATTGTTGCATCTCATCACCATAGACTTCACCTCACCCGGCTTCCACGAGCAGATCTGTCCTTCATGGTCTCATGGTCTAGTATTACTACATGTACACACAAGGGAAGAAAACACTCTCTCCTAAAACAATGAGTTGAAAATGCAAATGAGAAGGCAGGATAAAGAAATTGCTTGTTTGAATATTGTGTCAGCCTTGCACTGATGTAAATTATGCTTGTATTTTTGACAAGGATGAGTTGTGTTCAGATTATTTAAGGTCTGACGCCAAGTTTACAGCATTTTTCGATTAGATAGATTTATAGCTAAAATGGATAGAATTATCATTAAACCGCCCGCATGTTATCCAAAATGGGCGGGCCACTGTAACTTGATAATGCCCTCATATTGCTTAACGATGGGCTATTATCACGCCCATTGTAAGGTGACGTCATAGGGTAGGAATATGTGGCGTCACTTTCAATAGTGACGTCATCTGGTTTGTTCTTTGACCTTTCCATATTTGTAAAAGTGGGTCAGTGACATTTGTGTTGATTGCAGTAAATGTTTCCAAACCGATATTGTTGTTTCTTTTTATCTAATAGCAAATTCCATCCATTTTTAGCTATAATAATGGTAACGCTTTTTTTCAGGGCATTATCATTTGCAGAAGCCCTCGGTCTTTTCAATCACCCTCCTTCGTCGGGCAGTTAATGGAAGACCTTGGGCTTCTGCAAATGAAAAAAAGGGTTACCCTTAAAGTATCTTCAATAAGTAAAAAGAAATGGCCAAAAGTCCATGTAGCTCACCTGAATTAGGGAGCAGAATTTGAAAGATGGCAACATATGCATGACTACAATAATAAATGTATCAGGGCCATCATGTTTCACAACAGGTCGAAACTTATGTTGTATGTTTGTTGACATTCATCAAATCACACACGTAATTCTCGTAAACTTCTGGGATAAAACTGGTCTTCAGCAACTAACGGGATTGGGTGGTCAGGCTCGCTGACTTGGTTGATGCATGGCATTATGTCCCAATTGTGTAAGTTGATGCTCATGTTGTCAATCATAGGTCCAGACTATTATTTACAGACTGCCATCATATAGCTGGAATACTGCTGAGTGGGTTAAACAACACACACACACATAAATAGCAAAGTAATGGGTAAACATTCTTCAAATACGAATGTGATGGCCGTCATGTTAAAAATCATATCTTGTTTGTTTGTTTGTTTAAAACTACACTCAGCAATATTCCAGCTAAGTGATGGCAGTCTGAAATATTATTGAGTCTGGACCAGACAATCCAGTGATTAATGTCATGAGCATCGATCCACGCAATTGGGATACGATGGCATGCTTCAACCAAGTCAGCGAGCCTGACCACCAGATCCTGTTAGTCGCCTCTTACGACAAGCATGGTCGTCTTTTACGGCAAGCATGGGTTGCTGAAGACCTATTCTACCCCGGATCTTCACGGGTCTAAAATCTTATCTGATTTGTGTGTTTTCATGATGCCAACAAAGACAACAAACACAAAATCCAACAAAAGATTTTGAAGAACTTACAACACATTAATGTGTGCTCACATGAAATTTTCAACACGCTTGCTGTGACGGCAATAATGAACAAAAAGAAACATGTAATCACTTTCAAGAAATACAATTGCTTGGATAACCCATGCAAAGCTTCTCTCAATAAAGTATCTCAGTTTGAAATTGTAAAGATTTAACATTCATGGTGAATGGATGTTGGAAAAAGTGCTGTGACCAAGCTCAGATGAACTTTCTTTTCGGGACAGACAAGACAAGAAAACATCAGTCAAATAAGCAACAACTTCACCATTTGCCCCAAAGAAAATATAAACACTGACCCTAGTAGTACCTGCCATTAAATCTGTCATTATAAAATCAACCATCTTGCAAATATAGACACCATTCCATATGAAAATACCGCTGGACGCTATGTATGAAAGTTGAGGACAAAGACAACAATTGGCACTAGATAGACTCTACACAATCAAGATGCAAATTCCTGCCCAGATTTACAAATGCATAACGGATCTACATGCAACTGGGACAAGACTATCGTGCATAATAAATTCCTGTGAAGAGAAGCAGGTGTTAGATATACTCCACAAACCAAACACCCAGTTGTATAGGTAAACACCCAGTTGTATAGGTAAACACCCAGCTGTATAGGTAAACAACCATCATAGGGATGTCTCAGGGTCCCTCAACCTAATGAGTGTTTGTATCTATACTACTCAGCATTTGCTAAGACCAAACAAGTCTTTTGTCAAAGGTAAGGTTCTCAGCAAATGTTGAGCGGAATATTCCATCAGTTTGATCGCCATACCGTATTTCCTTGTACTGTGATCTTGTGGAACAAGCGAAACCTCTACTGAATTCAGGGGTTACTTTAATAAGCATGGTGACATAGATATAGTTCCAGCGCCAAAGGTTCAGGACAATTTGTCCAAAAAAAAGCAAATCTCTTCTGAAGTTTGCTGAGAAAATTTACTATCTAAATGTGGAGATAGGACATTTAGGCAAGCGGTTGGCATTGCCACGGGCACCAGTTTTGCTACCATCCTTGCTGATCTCTTTCTTAATGTCTAAGTGGCAAAATCAAAACAAGGAAATTTTGGCAAGAAGTTTAACTCAAGCTTCAGGTAAATCAATAATCTGATATTGTTCAATAATAGTGAAAGTCCTTTTAATGATTTACCCACCTGAGCTCGAACTAAGAGAGATCAGTGACACTGACTTATATGTTTCTAATTAGGTCAATGCATAAACATTCAGAGAGACAAAAATGATTCCAAATACTGTATGACAAGAGGGATGACGTCAACTTTCCCTTTATGTCAAGCATTATTCCAGAACATCCAGCCTTTGGTGTCTTCACTGCACTAGCTTTCAGGTACAATAGAGCGCACACTAGGAGACTTCATAGTGAGTGAGTTGTGTTTATTGCCGCTTTTAACAGTATTCCAGTTTTATCACGGCGCGTCAGCTTAATGTGGGTGGAAAGCCCGAAGTGATGCAGGTCTCAGACGTTTACCACTTCGGTGAAACCCACTAACACGGGTATGGTGCTGACAAACCTAGAAACATAATCGGGGCGAACAGGGATTCGAACCCACAATCATAGCTTTCTGGCGTGTCCAAGGGACGCAACTCTGCACAGGGAATCGCGGCGCCTTAGAGGACTGGGCCACCCGTGCCCCCTAGGAGGCTTCATAGAGTCCAGTGACTCTTGCTTAAACTTAACATAAGACCACTGCTGGTTATTTAAATTCATTTGACAATTGGTAGTTTTGGAGATACAATACCAATCTTGACACATGAACAACCCTTCTGAAATGTTAATGATTCTTATACAATCAAACAAATGTTATTAATTTACTAATGCCCTTACATGTTAAACATAAAATGGTTGCCAAACTAAGGAAATTTGTGAAAGTTAATTACAAATGTGTACAAATACAACTGGGGCTGACTGATACCTATATCAGTAGGTACATATATGTACCGAGGTATGTACAGATTTAATAAGGGAAAACTGGACATGTTGCATTGATACTAGCATACCAGAAGTGTAACAGCGGGTATATGTATATTCATGAACATCTACACCGAGGAAATCACATCTCAGTATTACATGGCCGACAGTTTAACATTTCAACTTGGCTGGCTGGTAATAACAGCCCATTTTGCTAATTCTACTCAAACTGTGACCCATATCATCACCATATTTGTCACATGATCAGAGTACACCACATGTTCCTGTGTACTTTCGGGTGAACAATAGACTTGCCTTTCCATGTGTTTGTTAAATATTACTCAAAAGAAGTTGAGTGAGTGAGTGAGTGAGTGAGTGAGTATGGGTTTACGCCACTTTTAGCAATATTCCAGCATTATCACGGCGGGGGACACCAGAAATGGGCTTCAGACATTGTACCAATGTCGGGAATCGAACTCGGGTCTTCGGCGTGACGAGCGAACGCTTTAACCACTAGGCTACCTGACCGCCCCCAAAATAAGTTGAAGAACAATATTTTTCCTATTACTACAGTTAATCTGTCATGGCATTAAGTGCAGTAATATGAAAGAATCGGGTGTTCTTTAATTTCTTTTGGGTAGTGTATATAATAGGATTCTGGATATCTGGATTTTGGCAGTTGTAAGGAGAATGTTTATGAAGTGACATACTGTTTACAAAGACTGATTCACACACGCTTCAGCCAATCACAGCATAGTATGTCACTCTTATGTCACTTACACCCTTCTGGCCTGGAGAGGATGGATGTGGTTCTCCTTCACAATATTGTTCTTAACAATGTACCATCGATAAAGTAACAAAAGTTAAATGTCTCTGTCTAAAATGCAGCAAAACAAAACTCCATCTTCCCGAGGCAAGGGAGTTAACTGACTATAAAAGTCCAGTTGGGTATTACGAGTTATGTCCCTCCAATTGCCCAATCAGATTCCACCTCTTATATCACGTGCAATTGCAATAGTAATGTCAGTGCCCAGTCAAGACGATCTGATCGATAATCAAAATCTATATTGTAATGAAAGGGGCCTTAACTCGCAAAGTGCATCAAACAACTGGAGCACCTTGATTAAAACAAATTTGCAAAATATTTGTCAACATACAGTTGGCGGTACACATGCTTTGCAAATCCTTCAGTCGACCCAAATCTGCACTTTGAAATTTGTTTTAAAAACTCTGTATGTCTAGTTCACTATGCGATTTTGATTGGACTATGCATAGAGCTCCGGAATTCCAGCATAGTTCGGCAAGGGTGGAAACTGGACTTTTTATAGTCATTAACACCCTTACCTTGGGAAGATGGACAAAAATCCTTCATTTGATACTCTTGTTGTGTGCCAAAATTGGTGACAATAGAAAACAGTTCTGGAGAAAAATGGAAAATGCTGAACGGCTCAGTAACCGGCGCAAGTATTAGGAGAGACATAGTGACATCGTAGAGGCAGAGACTGGTCTCAGTGTTCAAGGTGGCGAGGCTGGATATATACAGAGTAACAACAGGTCAACGGTACGCTCCGGACTTTGTATATGTCATTTGTTCTTTAAACTGTTCAACAACAATGATTTTATACCAAATAACAACACTCATAATGAATGATACAAGGGGTTAACTTAAATCAGAGAACAAAATGTAGATGTAATTCTATGGTTATATACAAATAGTAAATTGTGTCTACAATATGTCTTTCATGATCTGTCAAACCTACCCTTTGCCTCCTCACCATAACCCTACTACTGGTACACATACAGGTGTCCCTCATTATAACAACTTCCAATAACTATGTACAAAGGTGCACATATACTACCCAAAATATGTTAAGGACCACCCGATTTTTTCATATGAGTGAGTGAGTGAGTTTGGCTTTACGTCGCTTTTAGCAATATTCGGCGGGGGACACCAGAAATGGGCTTCACATATTGTACCCATGTCGGGAATCGAACCCAGGTCTTCAGTGTGACGAGCGAACGCTGTAACCATTAGGCCACCCGACTGCCCCTTTTTATATGACTAGTTAACCTGTCATGCCAGAACAGACTAATTATAGAAATATAAAGAACAGGTGATCCTTTACTTTGCTTGAGTAGTATATTTGTCACCCCTCACTTCTGTCCTTGAACAAAGACTGGTTTCCTCTATTGATAAGTGTCATTTGTGAAAACATGATAAATGTACAAGAATCACATCAGAATGTGTATATGACAATAATATATATATATAAAGCATCAATAAAAGAATATATACCTAGAAACAATAATTACTATCTAAAGATTTACTAAACTGATTGTCACAAGTCACATACTGAATATTATGCTTGCGCTGTGTTAGGACCCTGCCATTTAAAGGCTAATATGAAAGGACTTGAGTCATTATTCAGCTTGTCCCACAAGTACAAGAGTGGTCTGCATGTATAACTTCACAAGTGGAATTATCTCTATCATAACATTTTTAATCTGTACCATAAGCGTAAATACAAACCTATGACAAATACTGATTTGAAAATCAACAACTTTAAGTGGGCAATATTCATGACAATCATTGCTTCAAATTACCTATAGGGTTAGCCTATCATACAGACCCTGAAACAAATATATCCAAAATAGCCCATGCAAGTCTATAATGTTTGGCAAGTCTAGACTACATCTCAAAATGAAGAGAGTCTCTGGGCTCCTTTTTATTATATTTGTATTAAGATAATTTAAAAACTGTATAATTCTTGTGTATACCCTACCTCTATTACATCATTGCCATAAATTCCTGTTTATGCTGAGAACTACACTTCTAATTTTTTATAAATTTTCAACATCTGTCCTCTTCACTGTAAGATATGTTCTTTTCAGAGACTAGATGGTAGTCTACAATGGGGTTACAGCATGGGTTTTCTCATCACTGTGTTCTCTCATCTAAATGTCGATTAAAACGATTTTCATGGCATGGCACATCAATCTTAAAATACGTAGGTTTGAGGCTTCAGTTCTTCTAGTGACGCAACATGCAAGTACAACGATATAATCCCAATGTCCCATTGCATATACCACAGATCAAACCACTACAAATTAATTATTTGTCAGATTTGTCAAATGTGAATACAATGCAAGGATTGTGTTTGTTGCCTATCCACAAAAGTAAAGATTATCCAAGTATTGACCCAGATTATATTCAACAATGTTTTTCCCATGAATATATTTAAAGCAGCCATAGAGTATGGTATTTATGGTGGAAAGTCTATATTTGCCCACTGATGTAATTTTGTAGCTAAATAGGACTGACAAAATGAACTTCCTCAGAAATAATGAAATTTACATCAACACTAACTTTCTTACATGAACAAATAATCCTTGTGTTAATATTTAAGCACACACCTGTTCAATCCAACTAAACAGATTAGACATGTAATAAGGAGTACTTTTTCAAATGAATTAAAAAACATCAGTAAAAATATTTCACAATAAGGGCTGCTTGATTTATTAATAAGGTTAATATCATTAGGCGTTTGTGTTTTATCTACACATGGAACATGCTTCATTGTAATTACCTGTCAAAATAAAACACAATCACAAACAATACATGCTTGACTGGGAAGTGCAGGACTACAGCATGGAAAGCTTGACACATTATGACACAGATATACTTATGGCTTTAAGAGAATAGATATTCACATATTTACACCTATACAGTTATGCATGCCTTAGATATGGAGCATTGTTGATATACTGGAGTTGTCAATTAATGACAAAATAAAATAATAAACGAGGACATTAAAACAATGAAACAAGTCGTGACACAAGCCACATCCACTGATTTGCAGAGACACAGCAGAAACATTTTGAAAGCTGGATATAAAAGGTAAATGACTGTGAACTATAACCATCTGTTTTAAAAAAACCATTTCCATGTTGGTTGAAGTCAATACGAGTACAGGGAATCTTGAGTTGATGCAGAATAACGTGTTGTGTTTGATATCATGTTGCATCTGTTTACCATTTCAGGATTCTGGAGAAAAGAATCACATTTCATAAATGGCAAAATTGTACTTATTCTTAATCTTCAACTAAAATGTGTCACTTTCTTCCAAAATATATATACTACTTCTTGAATGTAAAACAAAGTGCTGTCCTTTTTATCTCACATCTTAAAGTAAGCATGTTGTACAAAAATATTAACATTAAAACAAGAACTGACAGATCTGGAATGAAGACTTCAGAAGAGCTGGAATGGGTGAGTGAGTGAGTTTGGTTTTACGCCGCTTTTAGCAATATTCCAGCAATATCACGGCGGGGGACACCAGAAATGGGCTTCACACATTGTACCCATGTCGGGATTCGAACCCGGGTCTTCGGCGTGACGAGCGAACGCCTTAACCACTAGGCTACCCGACCGCCCCAGCTGGAATGGGATAACGGAGAACACGTATTGACAAACATAACAAAACCTGACATACACAACCAACAATCCACAATTACAAACAAATCAACAAGATTACCTCAATTAAAAACAGACCCCACGACCAGTCATGGAACATAAACACAAAACTTCAAGAAATTACAATATGGCAGAGTAGGATAGAGTAACCTCCCCTGATTAAGATAGTTACCTCCCCTGTATAGATTCCACAGAACAGTATGTCACACTGACAAACACAGAATTTGGCTGATATGAGATCAGAAATCATAAGAGACATTAACACAGTATTTATGCACTTACTGTGCTGGGTAAAACATGCTATTCAAGATGCACATAAGCTAAACTCACAAAAATGAAAGAAAGAAATATCCCAAAATTCGAAGCTTGTCGTACATGCATTTCAACCATTCTACTGGATACATTTATCAGTGTTAATATTTCAAGAATATGCCCAAGACTGCACTGTCAATGAACGTTTCAAGGCTGTCACTTTCATCACACGTAAGCTCACAATTCCACAGCTTAACACCTCATCATTTCTACCTGTGTCCATGCTTGTTCTATATTGATAACAGTAGGCATATACAGTAAACTACGGTTAAAAAGAACTCAAAGGGACCACTTATTTGAGTTCATAATAACTGTAGTTCGTTCTAAGCATATATACAGCAAATGGCCTGGACTAAGAAATAAGTATCGATCAGTTCGTTATAAACGTGTTCATTATAAACATACTTTACTGTGTATCATTGAATGGCACCAAGCGAAAACATGTTGGTTATGATAGCAACAAATATAATTCGTAACAGGAATTTCATGATATAAACCATTGGTGATCTTAAAGAGGGTATTTGCATACTATAAAAGCATGGTTAAGCAATGAACATGTAACAAATTAAAAGAAGTTCATTCATGCTCACTATGTACACTGGAGAATGAAATCATAAAGACATTTACGAGCAACATTTCAATAAGGCCTTTTAACTCTACCATTTGTTCGTACATTAATACTGGCAGCTGAGTGAATCCCATATTAACTCAGCACTGTTTTCGACTTGCGTCACTTCGTCTTGAATGGCTGCAAGATTACCGATGTGACGTTACAATAATCACTCACTCATTTTGGGCATACCTGTTTAAATAGGCTTTACACAGTATGACTTACTAAAACTTAACACTAAAACTTTAAACTTACTCACTGCTACACAATGATCATCTGGACATGCATCAACTTATAAACTATATAAAAATGATTTAGTGTGAAGTGTCTCGGGTAAAGATATAAAGTTGTAGAAAGAGTTAATATTGAAGGGTTAAAAGACCTGATGAAATGCACCATGTTCATTTAAAGAATTATCATAAATCAGTACTGAAGTTCTCCTGATTAACAGAACCATTCTTGCTATCCTTGCTTCTGCTTGTCGCTGGTAAACTTCGACTCTTTTCCGACTGGAAGCTGTCATCACTACCATTTGCTGCGACATAGGGATCATCATGGCTACCTGATCGCCGTGGCAACGCATGAAGTTCAAGGTTGTCTACGACTGACTTTGACTGCCCCTTCACCACTGCCACGGAAATACTATCAGAGGAATCTCCATTGAAAATGGCTGATTTTGTGCTTGCATCAGAATCTTTCCGAACATCCTTTCCTCGTATCTTGTCTCCTTTCTTTGCTGCCTTCTTCCCTGACGACCTTGCCCCTTTGGGAAGACCTTGACCTTGGTCCCCATCTTCGTCAATGGGTTCTAGTTTCACATCTTTGGCAGTTGGCACAGAAATGTCATCTGAAAGAAATAATAATTGAATTTATTTTAATCTGAAAACAACTGAGCTAGTTTCATTTCTCGAACTATTTTAGTCCACTTTAATGTGTGAGATTTACAAAAAACAAAACCAGGCTTTTGGTAAAAATTTCAACTTAACCAAAACTGGAGAATAAAAAAGCATCAATGCTATTACATTTACATGTACCAGTAGTACATTACAAACCATGTAATATACTATTATAATTAAACATCTAACCATATAAATTATTCAACCACAGGGCCCCATATTCCATAAAGCTATCTTAGCGCAATGACTATTGTAAGTCTATGTTAAAGTATAGGATTATGATTGTCTTAGATCTATGGTCGCTTCATAGAATGGGGCCAGATCTCTGAAATCAACCTCAGTTACCCAGTGTATCATATCTCCATTCAATAATTACATTTATTACCTACAAGGGCAAACATATCAGGGGTCATAAAAAGCATATGTGCCCTTGGGTCATATCACGTCACAAGACAACAGTGTATTGTCTTGTATTGTCATCTGGACGGCTTTGTTGACGTCATTTGAATCTTATTGTTACATGAGGTCGGAATGACGGACGTCATCCGGATGTCATTGTTGATGTCATACGAATCTTATTGTTACATGAAGTCGGAATGATGCCACACTAGAAACAACATTATATCTGAAGATTGTTGACGTCATTTAACAAATTGTTGTTCGATTGCTGTTGCGACTTGCTGTCCTTAGAGGTAAACACTAAAATTTGTCTCTGTACGGAGACATCTTCTTTGGTAATAAATAGAACATTGTATTTATGTTCATGTCATACTCTTGCTCGGGAAATACCAGAAAATTTAGACACTCGTGTCGTTAACATAGTATGACATGGACACAAATACAATATCCTCTATATGCCATGAACCCAGTCAATACACAATGCTAAAAATAGCAATCCAATCAAATTACACTCACATGCAAGAGATATTTTTGGGGAGGATAGTGATAACAGAGATGGGTATAGCATACAATCTCTTCCCATACAAAGCTAAAAAAGATTGGGGCAGGATATTATATCATAATAGAATGGATTTATAAAGCACTAGATATCCGAGGATGTGATCAATGAGAAATGAATTAACATCTGCTCCAAATTTAACCTTGATATGACTTGATATATCCATTTTGACCATGCTCTTCTCAAAATGCTAAATTTCAAAACTTATTATTTATCAATTTTCCTCATTATTTACGTTGGCAATATTTGGCTATCAATGCAGACAGCAACGTTTGTGAAGTGGCTGACTTTGTTCTTTTAGATGAAGGTGAGCTTCAGTGCCATTCCAATATTTTCTCATTTAATTTTTATTCTAACCTACTGGTTCGTTCTTAATCAATAAAATATGTTAAGACAACATAAACAAAAGTGATAGTCATCCCCCTGGAATGTTGGGTGATATAGCAGGACAGATTAACTGTAGTAAAACAAGTCATCAGAAGATGACAAACCCCCGGCCCCCACAATAGCAAAAGGCACCACTTCAACCTATGGTTAATACATGTACCAAGTTTGGTGAAAAATCTTTCACTGTTTTCAAGTTAAGCTCCGAAAATAAACGAAATACGGATGGACGGTTGGACAGACAGACCAGATTATGAGTATATCTCCCCCATAAAATGCCAGGGGGATAATGAAAGAATTGGATTGTTCTTTAACTTCTATTGAGTAGTATATATAGTCCCTTCTCCTATTTTTGCAGGTTTCCTAATCTCAGGGCAATACGCAAATATACAATGCAGTTGTTTACATTGGTAATATAAGTAGGTAGTGCCAAGGTGTCTTATATCGCTAAATTTTCTGAATATATTTTCAGCAATATTTCAGTTATCTGACTTCAGTCTGTAAATAATCGAGTCTGGACCAGACAATCCTGTAATTGATATCATGAACATCGATCCACGCAGTTGGGATATGATGGCATGCATCAACCAAGTCAGCGAACCTGACCACCTGCACGTTAGTCGCCTCTTACGACAAGCTTGGGTTGCTGAAGACCAATTCTAACCCTGATCTTCACTATATATAAAAGAATCGGGTGGATCCTTAACATGTTTTGAGTAGTACATGTTCCTTCACTTGACAATATTAACATGAGGGTCCTTAACCCAATGTTATCTGCATTACACCTTTTTCAAAAGAAACATTTATACACAGGACCACATTTCAAAATTCTTGACACAACAGAGTATATCCTAAAGCTATTAAGGAAACAACTTACCATGACCCAGGGCCCTCTTTAGCAAGTAGGGACAAGTTTTTCATTACATTAATGCATAGTTGTAAGGGAAATACTGTTTGTTTAAACTCGTTAAGGAACTTGTTATAAAAATGCACAAGTAATAATATTGGAGCAGCTGCTTCTTGATACTAATGAGAAATAAATCATGAACTTATACCAGCAGGAACTCGGGATGAGTTGCTTACATATGCTTTCAATAAGCAGTTGTTCATAATTGATGGAGCTTAAAAAGGTTTCAATATTCAAAGTGCTACTGACCTTTTAACACATATTCCTCTCTCATACTGCTGTTCTGATACAAGAATCTAACATATTTCTCCTACGTAATGAAATAATTGGAAATTACCTGTGCACATGATGCAATATAAGAGTGAGTGAGATGGGTTTAACGCCGCTTTTAACAGTATTCAAGTTATATCGCGGCGTATCAGCTTAATGTGGGAGGAAAGCCCGAAGTGATGCAGGTCTCAGACGTTTACCACTTCGGTGAAACCCACGAGCACGGGTATGGTGCTGACAAACTTAGAAACACAATCGAGGTGAACCGAGATTCGAACCCACAATCATAGATTTCTGGCATGCCCAAGGGACGCAACTCTGCAGAGCGAATCGCGGCGCCTTAGACGACTGGGCCACCCGTGCCCCCTGCAATATAAGAAAAACTATTCCAAGTGAGACTGTTTGGAACCTAACTGTCATCCTCAGTAACATAATTGTTTTCATAGGGGATTTTGTGGGAATTGTGAGAATTTTCTAGATTAAATACCAAGAATTTGAAAAAGAAGATCAAACATCTAGATTTTCTGAACTAGAATTTCACTATAACCCGGTCTAAAGTCTGAAAGTATACTCTGAAGGGGGGTAGATTTTGGCACCTTACACCGGGTGCCGTTGTACAAAGCGATCTTGCAGCTTATGTGCTCGTAACTCCCATACCTTAACACAGACTTATGATAGTCATAGTGCTAGGGTTGTTTTGTACGAGGCCCTGGATACTGTATCAGATGTACTATGTGGGAGATTCTTGGTTAGAACCGGTACCTCAGTACCTGTGTCATGGATTCCCAGTCAGAATACATCCCCAGTACCCATGTGGGGATTCCCAGTCAGAATACATCTCCAGTACCCATGTGGGGATTTCCAGTCAGAATACATCTCCAGTACCCATGTGGGGATTCCCAATCAGAATACATCCCCAGCACCCATGTGGGGATTCCCAGACAGAAAAGGTCTCCAGCACAAGATTTTGGGTCAGAATAGGTCTGTATTACTTGTATGAGGATTCCGAATGTGAATTCCCACACAGGGACTGGGGACCTGTCAGAAAAGGTCCCAGGTAGATCTGGTGGTTACAGTGTGTGACGTGGATAATTGTGTTTCATAACTCCTGATAACCAGTGAATGCGTTTGGTTTTAGGCAGCTATTAACAGTATCCATGTGGGGATTCCTTGTCAGAATACATCCCCAGTACACATGTAGGGATTCCCAGTCAGAATACATACCCAGTACACATGTGGGGATTCCCAGTCGGAATACATCCCCAGTACCCATGTGGGGGTTTCCAGTCAGAATACATCTCCAGTACCCATGTGGGGATTTCCAGTCAGAATACATCTCCAGTACCCATGTGGGGATTTCCAGTCAGAATACATCTCCAGCACCCATGTGGGGATTTCCTGTCAATATACATCTCCAGCACCCATGTTGGGATTTCCAGTCAGAATACATCTCCAGTACCCATGTGGGGATTTCCAGTCAGAATACATCCCCAGCACCCATGTGGGGATTTCCTGTCAACATACATCTCCAGTACCCATGTGGGGATTTCCAGTCAGAATACATCTCCAGTACCCATGTGGGGATTCCCAGTCAGAATACATCCCCAGTACCCATGTGGGGATTCCCAGTCAGAATACATCTCCAGTATCCATGTGGGGATTTCCAGTCAGAATACATCTCCAGTACCCATGTGGGGATTCCCAATCAGAATACATCCCCAGCACCCATGTGGGGATTTCCTGTCAATATACATCTCCAGTACCCATGTGGGGATTCCCAATCAGAATACATCCCCAGCACCCATGTGGGGATTCCCAGACAGAAAAGGTCTCCAGCACAAGATTTTGGGTCATAATAGGTCTGTATTACTTGTATGAGGATTCCGAATGTGAATTCCCACACAGGGACTGGGGACCTGTCAGAAAAGGTCCCAGGTAGATCTGGTGGTTACAGTGTGTGACGTGGATAATTGTGTTTCATAACTCCTGATAACCAGTGAATGCGTTTGGTTTTAGGCAGCTATTAACAGTATCCATGTGGGGATTCCGTGTCAGAATACATCCCCAGTACACATGTAGGGATTCCCAGTCAGAATACATACCCAGTACACATGTGGGGATTCCCAGTCGGAATACATCCCCAGTACCCATGTGGGGGTTTCCAGTCAGAATACATCTCCAGTACCCATGTGGGGATTTCCAGTCAGAATACATCTCCAGTACCCATGTGGGGATTTCCAGTCAGAATACATCCCCAGTACCCATGTGGGGATTTCCAGTCAGAATACATCCCCAGTATCCATGTGGGGATTCCCAGTCAGAATACATCCCAAGTATCCATGTGGGGATTCCCAGTCAGAATACATCCCCAGTATCCATGTAGGGATTCCCAGTCAGAATACATCTCCAGTACCCATGTGGGGATTTCCAGT